CCCCCCCCAACCCCGACCCCCCCTAGGGCAAGAGGGGCGGGTCCCAATAGGAGTAACATATCTAATTCTTCGAAATCTTCCTTTTCCTGAAGGAATGACAAGATTTTGTTCTATTGCATATAAATATAACCCCTGACTAACCATATATTATATGTACACTTCCAGTAACATCACGCTATTCTAACTTCAATTTTGCTAACATTTCCAGGTGAGCGATACAGGCCCTCTGGGCCTCTTGGTGGTTTTTTTTAAATATAAGAAACTTACATAGGTTGTTCATGGTGATGTCATTTATTTGGATAGTTCATATAAATAGAGAAATTATCACAGTTTGGAAATTAGCCACCATCAATAGGTATCAGGCCTGCTGTGTACAAGATGCTGGTTCTGGGGACCTAGGTAATGGAATCCATCTCTTATTTCGTTAAAATCACGTTATATACAGACCCTTTCTTTTCTTTGTACATTTCGCCAGTGACAACCAGGAGTCTAATCTGTCGTTTAGCCACTACCTGCTAAGTTACGATAATCACAAAATGGGTGCTCTTAAAACCGTCATATATCAGTGAATCTTGAATTAATAGAAAACCACCAAGGTGGCTCCACACATCGTCATCAGCGTCCATTTTCGTGACGTACTTCCGGAAAAAGTACAGCTCGGACTCAATCATCTTGATCGAAATGTGCATGTACACCGTGTCGTCATTTCCGTATTGCGTATCGGGCATTCAATATCGTAGTGCAAATTATAATAACACCTGGACCGTTTGCGTTTAAACGGTCAAACCGATCGGACCACTGTTGTTCGTTTATTAAATATGGAAGGACCTAGTAATCTGATGCTGCTTTCAGGCGAGCCTTGAGACACCCTTGCAAGGCTTGCATACACATTTGCAGGTCCGCCAGGATTTATACCCGAAATTGTTACATTTATAAACGGTCAAATCGGTTGTTCCGCATAAACGAACAGGCCCCTGGTAAACAATAGTACACGTGCGTGCCGATGATATGTCAACACCCGATATCGAGATTTTACCGGGAAATGTATAATCACACGTATTTCAGGAATAAAGCTTTCCAATTCATTGACATAAACAGACTCACGGGAAGACAGTGACATGAGACCAGACGACCTCAAGAAGGTCATATAGGAAACACATGGAATGCGGACGTACCAACCTCATATGTGCATATCACGTGCTTACACGAGTTCATAAGCTGAGGGAGTTTCGCTCTGTCGATTAAATCGTGTTTACAAATGTAGTCTACTTACTCTGTGAAAATAATGTTTTGTAAAATATCAAGATACCTATGAAATGCATGTGTGAGGGCACGTGAGAACGGCATACCATGCGATAGCCTCTGGTCACATATGTACCTGACATGTAATTATAAATATACCGTGAGTTAGCGGACTGTGGAATGATGTCCAAAGTGTACATGACTGAGGGTAATTTGGTTCCATTAAAGAACAATAAATTGATAATTTTGATATCATATTTTTGATTTATTTCCATCATTTGTTATATGTAAACAGAGACAACTGTCATTGTGTAAATGTCATCCCTCTGCAAAAAGTTCCGATTTTTTTCAAGGAAGATAACTCTCACCCGGATCAAAGTGATTGTAAAATGTAAAATAAATTAATTATAAAGCCATTGTGTATATTTTGTTCAATTTCCCACTCTATATGTATAGATCTTTGTGTCCTGTTTGCTTTTAGCTTGTAGATAATCACTTTTATCCGTTCAAATTCAATAAAAAACACTTTGTGTAACATGTGTTACATATTTTGCGATAAATAAAATATTTCTAGGGTTAATTATAAATGCTTCTTTTCATTTTTTTATTGTTGTTATTGTTCCGAACAATGCCACACACACAAAGAAACGGAAAATATTAAAAGTGGCGAAAATTCAATTATTTGGTATTTTTTCCAAAAAAGTCTCCAAACTATCGGAATGTTTAGATTTTCATAAAATTAACTCTACATAGTTGCATAACCATTATATGAAAGTTTCAACGAATTTTGCTGGTTGATTGCGAAAGTGTGGAGCCACCTTAACAAGAAATATTTTTTAAAACAATAAACAGAAGAATTTTGATGTATGTGGTTATAAGTCTGAAATAGCTGTGTGCTGAAGCATAATGATGAGACGACTGGATATCAAAGAATTTAATAACTCCACCTCTTTCTTTTTGAAAGCACACATTTTACGATTTAATTAGTGAAAACCACGTTGGTCGTTTAACGGGAGATAACTCGCAAATGTGTGTATTACAAGTTTTCATAGTATGTAAGTGTATGTCCCCGCCTACTCAGATACATGTATCGAGCGGAGTATCATACACATGTGGATTCGGTGATATTCTTGTGTCATCTAGAGATCATGTAATCATTATTAGAGCTGGAGAGCACAAGAAATCAAGCCATTTGATATTTTAATGTATAAAGAGGGGAGTAAACACACGAGGCGTGTAGGCCGGCGCCATTTGGAGATGTGGGTTCTAAATTAAAAGATTAAAGGGCTATTCGGTTCGTAACTGAAACCAAGCTTTCATTTTTTATGAAAAGATCTTTTTACACGACCAATAAGAGTTTCTATGTGACGTTTCGATGACTAGTACGATATGTACACTGTCACCTTCATCAGACAAATGACCAGTGAAGCGTATATGCACACAAAGGTATAAAATGTGTACGAGTTGTCCACAAAATCGATGTCCATTGATACACTAGTCACAGAACAACAGGACAAACCACAAGAGCAGAATCACATCGCTAGGGCAATGAGAATATGTGCATATCCGGAATGGGCCCTAAAACGGGTACAACAACAGTGTCGAAGGAAGGAGAAAAACAAGAAAAGGCCAATCAAGGATAAGCACAAAATCAAAGGTCAAGTGGTCATCCCGTATATAAAGGGTACCCGAAACCATCCAGAAGATATATCGCGGTCATGGCATAGCAACAACCATGAAGCTCCACAAGACGCTTCGTAATATCCTAGTACACCCTAAGGGTAAAACACCTAAAGAAAACGTGCGTATATAAAAATGCAAAAATGCAAAAACTGCGACGCATCGTATATTGGAGAGACTGGAAGGCGATTTGGGGTCCGCCTTGGTGAACACAGGAAAGATACGGAAACCCAAGAAGGTAAGAAATTCTCCAGGAAGCTGTTGGAGTCCCAGATAAATAAATCGA